TCTGTAGCGCTTCGCTCTCTTTCTTTTCCATTTTCCGGTAAACGTAAAAAACTTTAACCACACTCCGAACCACTTTTTTTTCCGATTATGAAAACGGGAGAATTTGTAAAAATAAAAATCGTTATTATGAAATTTAAATAGAATGCAGAGCTAATGAACCTAAAATATAGATTTTCTTAAAAAATATAATAATAAATTAGGCAATCATATTTCTATTAAATACATAGGTGAAATTCTATTTTTCATGAACAAAGTATTTTATTTTCTATTTCAAATCCCCATAGAAGCATGGGATTTTTTAAAATATAATTTTGGGAAAAAGTAATAATTTTTTCGGCATAGGTTAGTGCGATTTTGGTGGACACTAAATAAGATTTAACAATTAATTTTATATTCTACGTATTCTCCTAATTAAGCATTCATAAATAATAAAAATAGTTGGAAACAGAAATCTCCTATTATATGGGTAAATCTTTTTCAAAAAAAGAGTGATGTTATGTTTGCTTTTATATTTTACAGTAAAATCATTTTGGAGCATAATTTTTGCTTGCAAATTCAATGTGTATTTTTTTTCTGTTCAAATAAATCTTCCAAATAATTATGGCGTTAATTATTTCACTGCTTTTAACTTCTTCCCGGACGGTATAAACCATCTAGTATAATTGCAGTAGATTTATATTCGATTATAAGTGAAAAAGCTTTGAAGGAAGTCACAAGCAACCTGTGCTCAAAGATGTGCACAATATATTTTTTAAAAATCAGAAAATAGATATTTTAAAATAAATTGTCATGATATATCGTGAACACCTGGCTTTACGATCAATATCTAATCTATGATAATTATCAGCAACAATAACATCGTTATCATTATTAAAAAATATAAATGTTGTCGCGATCATTAACGACAATCATAATATTGAGTACGATAATACCGCGAATAATATTGATATTTAGCGAACACGAAAATACAGATGAGATTATCGACAGCAAAACATTGAAAATTAGAACAATATCAGTAAATATCAATACTTTTTGGCGATATATTACGATACTGAAATTCCGATATTGAAATTCCGACATTTGATTCGAGTTGAAATAGGCTTCGGATAATCAACTCCCAAACGAGATTTATTGCGAATCCCTTCTTTAAAGCACAAAAAGAATTATTTTCATATTTTTCAGAATTTTAGAAGTCTTTTAATTCAAAATTGTAGCATTTTTATAGCTATAATTGAATTCTTTGCATTTTTATTTTAAATAAACAGATTAAAAAACACAACATGTTTGTTAGGAAATTTGACCAGACCCCCGGAAATCCCGGTCCCTGTGACTGCTGAAGGACCCTATTTTACACCTTTGAGTACAGTTTTGATGAAAAATCGAAGTTTCGTATAATTGGTTGTTGGATATTACCGTTCATCGAAACTCGAACTTTATTTAAATGCTGCACCTATCTATTTTTTTTTTCAAACTTGCATTTAAGCTTTCCGTTATTGACGGATTAACACAACTGTAATAAAATACAAAGAAAAGAAGAAAAAAAAAGAAACCATGAGTAAACAAGTTTGAAAAAGGCAGTATGAGCAGATGTTCTCGGTTGAACTATTGTGTTGATGATTCCATTTTGAAACGGCATAGCTTAGAGAGGGTGATCTGGATAACCGTCTAACATCTGCCCTCAATAAACGGGGGCGGGAAGGGGGGAATGAGAAAAAGGTATGGATTTAAATCTATCCATAGAGTTAAATTAGAAGAGTGAATAATGTAATATAATATGTTACGATAAGAAAGACAAATAAAAATGAGCAAATCAAATTCCATTACATTTTTAAATTAACTAATATTGCGGTTCAAGGAGTTTTATTTCCTTCTACCACGGAAAAGAGAATTACGAATTTTAAATTCTTTTCTGGATGTTTTTCGATTATTTAAAATCTTTTCAGTTAATTGTTTAGACTTATTACATAGCAAAGACTAATTTTAGATTGCTACTATTTAAATATTTAGAAAAAGTGACTGGAGAGGTTAATTTTGAACCTTTAGTTGAGTAAAAGGAAATAGCGCAAATAAAATAACAATGTTAAAAAGGGATGACCCAGTTTTGAGTTTTTTTTTTAATAGTTTGGTGTTGGCATTTATAAATTCATGGGGGAAACATGGAAGGGTTTGATACGTTTTTTTTTCCTTTCCCGCTTCCTTCTTCAATTTTTTATTAACACAATACATTTTTATTTTGTTAACATTATTTGATAGCTAATATTATTCGTCATCTGTTGCATGTCATTTTTTTATTTAAATTATAAACTTATGTGATTATTTTCTTTCCTTTAGTAGATATTGTCAAAAACTATGTTGTCGCTCATCAATAACTTCGAGGCTGAAAACTTTTTCTCATTATGTAATAAGTAAATTGAAATAAAATAGGATCAACTAAGCTAATATATTAAGTGATATATATAAAACTTGATTGAAAATGAAATTTAAAATCTTTTTTTTTCTTCTTATCTTTTGAGAAATGCCTCTTTGTTGTTGCTTTCTCCACGGTTATTAAATACTTGTGTTCATACAATGTTAAGTTTTAACTTCATATGTTCTACGTACTTAAGTTACGTTTTAAGTTTATTTTCATTTGGACTGTCCACACTTAGCAGGAATAACAGTTTTTACTGATAGAGCAATAAGCAGGAAATCAAAAAAAGAGGAAGGTCAACGAACCTTTTCTTTATCTAGTACATAAATAAACGCAGCTTAGCTAATGCCATTAAAATAATTCAATATACAGATGCGTAAAATGTTTTTTAAATACTGAAAAACGACGCCCTGAAAAGTTTCCATGTTATGTTTCATTTATTTTTTATAATTCTGTTCAAGAAGTTAGGCTGAAGGCTCTTAAATTTTTTATTTACATTATTAGTTTTATATCCGTCAGCTGTTTATGCTAAGAGGGGGTTGAAATTTCTTAATTTCGCTTATTTGTCATGAGGCACCGATCACAAATTAAAATTTGCATACTTTTACTAATTTGAAAGTGATCAAAATTCTAAATGGCGATTCATTTTGTTTGATCATTAAACAATTGTAACTTGCATTGTCAGTACAGATTTGAATGCTCTATCAAATCAGAGAGAGGTTAAAATTTTCGATTCCAATTTCAATTTAATGTAAAATTTTTTTTAAAAACTACGTTTGTGAAGTAAAGGTGAAAATTATTTTTTATTCAGAAAACGAAATAATAGTGCATCCCTTTCGAAAGCTGCAAGGGAATTTTAGGTGATGACAGAAGTTTATAAAAAAAAGACGAACTTAGTTAAAAATAAATTTTTACGTATTATACTTATTTTGCTTAAATATGTAGTAACATAAAATAAATTTTTTTTTAACAAATTTAAGAGTGCCATAAATTTTGGTAAATTTTATACATTTATTTTTAATAAGATCCAATATTATTATTGATTACTATATTATTTAGAATGAATTTCAGAACAATTTTTAAGAACTGAATAAATTTTTTTTCTGTATTAACTAAACAGTTGATGATTTACTTTTAATAAAATTAGACATGTTTTAAGTAAAAAAAAATTTAAAATGAATACACAGAATAAAAATTTAAGAAAAAAAATTCAATTTTTTTTTTTTTTAAATATATTTTTTCGTTACTTTAGAATTTTCTTTCTTATTTTATATATAAAAAATAATTGGATAAAACATTCTTGTTAAAATTTATGCATCTGAGTCAAGTATTGAAAAACTAAATATTGCATAATTTCCTCTACACGGAGCTTTTGCAACTATCTCCAAATTTTTTCAGCTATTGAGTTTATCATTTAATGGTTGTTAATCTATTGATGATTAATTTAATTCATAATTTTCACGTGATGTCATTATTATTTATTTAATAATAATTCTTTTATCAATATTTTAATCAAAAACTTATGCAGCAATAAAAAAGTTAAAATCTTAAAGAATAAAATACAATCCACTATTTATAAAAACTAATGCAACATTGAAATTTACAATTTCTAAATATACATATTTACATAAAATTTTATTTAGTGGAAAAAATGGCCAAAAAAAAAAGTCAGTGCAGCATTGGAAAATATTTTGCATCAAAATGAAAAGCTTGTTTTCAAAACATTTGAAGTCTACACAAAATCGTTTATTTATAAGAAAAAGAAAATAATATCTCCTCTCATTTCTTAAGATGAAAAATCGAATAAACTTTTCAGTCTGTTTTCGAACGGCATAGTTAGAACCACTTGGAGCAGGCTCCAAAGGATCCGCATCATGGAACTGACTCACTTATTCCTAAAAATTTTTAGAATTATTTTTATTTTTTTTTAATTTCAACTTTCTCTCATTAATATTGTAATTATTTAAATCTTATACCCACAAATTTTGATCAAGTGAGTTATTTTTTTGAAAAATTCATTTTGAACAAAAATATTGAAACGAAAGCTTAGTTTCAAGAGCACTTTCCACTGCAAATTTTTTTTTCATTATCTCCACATGTGGATACCATGTTAATAGTTGATAGCCAGTTGCCCAGAATTCTGATTGAAGTCAACCTCTAGTAAATTCATTAGGACAAAATCTAGAAGAAAAAAAAAACGGTAGTTGTGTGTCATCACTCTCAGTTTTAAGGCCCTTTAAAGCTTAACAGTTAATGATTAAGTACCAGGAAAGTATAAAAGGTTAAATTATGGCTTCAGAATAACAGCCATTTAATTAGGCGCTATATGTTTTAACGGTGATTTGGAACACAAATTGTGACAGATTTCATAATTTTAAACAAAAATTTTATTCCATAATCTATCGCAATCATAAATGGAACAAAATATAGCAATGAAAAAACGAAATAAAAATCACTTTTAGAATAAAAATGTATAAAACTTTGTGAAAATTATCTTTTATAACGGAGGAAAATGGCAATCAACTGCAGCTAATGAAGATTGCGAGCTAAAAAATAATGTTGAATGTGGTATTGTAGATAAAAAATCACATAATCAAATATAAATTTATTAACATGGAAGAAATGCATAACAAAATTGACTGATCACCATACACTGGTTTATTTATAATAATAAAATTAAATATACAAATAAAATAGTTTCAGCTGTCATTTTGGCTTCTTAAATTGACTACTGGGGTTGCGTCATCTGACAGATCTTCAAGATCAATATCACTTGTGTCTTCTTGGAAGTCACACAATTCTTGGGCTATTTCTAAATTAAAGAAAGTAATTTTAGAAAAAAGAATGCTTTAAAAAAAATCACATATTAAGAAATTAAATGTAACAGTTACTGGACATATATAGTAGGTATACGAGATACAATTTCTTTACATAAGAGATGAGCAAAACGGTGATTTTAGTGGTAGTGTTCAAAACTAATAGAAATGATAACTAATTGTGAAGAGCAAAAATGAAGAAGACACATAAAGTTAGTGTTCTATACATAATTTCACATTTATGAACATATATAGTTAGTATTCTATATATATATTCTCACATTTATAGACATATATAGATAGATAGTATTTTAGATATAAGTTGTTCACATAAGAGATGAGAAAAATTTTGATACTAATGGTGATATGAAAAACTAAGTAATTGTGATGAGCAAAATGTGTTTTAACACGTTCACGCCGGGAAAAGTGAAAATACTGGTACGGGGAAAAGAGAAAATACTGGCAGAAGAACTATTTCAATATTAGATAATATTTGGGAGGAGTTAATCTATTCTCAACAATAACAATTCACTGTAAGGAAATTTATCACGGCGAAGAAGCAATTCAATATAAAAATTGCATCCGTTAAAAACAATTGGTAGTTATGGATTTTTATTATTCCCGGAAAAAAACTAACAAATGAAATTTAAGGTTACCAGTTTTTACTCCGGTGCGCTGCCAAGATGAGACAATCTAGCGTGACCCACCGGTGGGTCAGCCTGGCGTGAACGTGTTAATGATAACTTATAGTGATAGGCAACGAAGTTTTGCTGCTTTGGCCAATGGCCAGTATTTATATTGTTATTTTATATAGCTGCCATCATACTCTTCACCAATTTTTATAGTTTCCTACACCAATTTAACTCTACTAATTCAAATTTTAATAAGATTTTCAAATGAAAGAAAAAGACGATTTTTCTTAGCGTTACCGTTTACATCTAAACTATTTAATTCTTACATGTCCTGAACTATTCATCTACTACTTTGATGGTCTTCGATTTAACCAATCAAATAATTTTATTTAAAATTCATTGGAGACAATCTGTTTTTCATATAATAAAAAAATAAACACTATAAGTGAATAAAAAATATTTCCAATAGATTTCCGCTATTTTGTAATTTAAATATAATTGTACAAGATATAAATTAATTTTTGTTCAATTTGAGTACACTATTAGTAAAAAACAATTAGTAAACACTATTAGTAAACAAACTATTACAAACTATTAGAGAATAAAAAATATTTCCAACATATTTCGACTATTTTGTAATTTAAATATAATTGTACAAGATATAAACTAATATTTGTTCAATTTGAGTACACTATTAGTAAAAAACAATTAGTAAACACTATTAGTAAACAAACTATTACAAACTATTAGAGAATAAAAAATATTTCCAACATATTTCGACTATTTTGTAATTTAAATATAATTGTACAAGATATAAACTAATAATTTTTGTTCAATTTGGATTTTGTACAAACCGTGCTCAAGGTTATTTTTATAAATAAGCAGTGAGATAAAATACTTTATTCTGGTTTTCGTCAATTTGCTTTGAAACAGCTTCTTCAGGCATCGGCTATACTTTGTAAATGAAAGGGTGAATTGTATTGTTTTTATTTTTTAGATTTCTTGTGAGTATAACTTAGTCGAGGTGAAGATATCTACCTATAATTATATCATATGTTTTAATTTTGAAGAGTCAAAATCAATAAATTTTTCCTTAACACAGTTCATCAATTGGCTTCTTGTGACAGAACCGCTGGATTTTGCCAAACAATCACCACTTGTACTTACCACTAAATTTATGCTCTATTTTTATATTAATCACACACCTAATTATAAACTAATACTTGTAATTACTATCTATTTTGATTAATTTAATTTTAGGACTCTTCCAATATTTAATAAATAAAACCAAGTAATTTCATATTCCATTAAGCACCATTTTAATAAGTTAAAACCAATATAAANCACAGGCACACACAGACACACACACAGACACACACAGACACACATATATATATATAAATAGATAGTATTTAAGATATAACTTATTCACATAAGAGATGAAAAAAAATTTGATATTAATGGTGATATGAAAAACTAATTAATTGTGATGAGCAAAACGTGTGTTAATGATAACTTATAGTGATAGGTAAAGAAGTTTTGCTGCTTTGGGCATCATTTATATTGTTATTTTATATAGCCATCATACTTTTCATGGATTATTATAGTTTCCTATACCAATTTAAATTTTTTATTTCAAATTTTAATAAGATTCTCTTCTAATTGAAAAAAAAAATGCAGATTTTTCTTAGCATCACGGCTTACATTTAAATGATTGAATTTTTTTAAGTCTTGATCTATTCATATAGATTCTTCGATGGTCTTATATTTAAGCAATCAAATAATTTTATTTAGAATTTATTGGTGACAATAATCTGCTGGCCATATAAAAAAATAAACACCATTAGTAAATAAAAAATATTTCCAATAGATTTCTGCTATTCTATAATTTAAATATAATTGTTCAAGATATAAATTAATTTTTGTTCAATTCGAGTACACTATTAGTAAAAAACAATTACTAAACACTATTAGTAAACAAAAACTAGTAAACAAGCTATTACAAACTATTAGTAAATAAAAAATATTTCCAACATATTTCGGCTATTTTGTAATTTAAACATAATTGTACAAGATATAAACTAATAATTTTTGTTCAATTTGCATTTCGTACAAACCATGCCACAATGTTATTTTTATGAATTTAATATATAAGCAGTGAGATAAAATACTTTATTTTGGTCTTCGTCAATTTGCTTTTAAACAGCTTCTTCAGACATCGACTATACTTTGTAAATGAAAGGGTGAATTATATTGTTTTTATTTTTTAGATTTCTTGTGAGTATTACTCAGTCGAGGTGAAGATATCTACCTATAGTTATATCATATGTTTTAACTTTGAAGAGTCATAATCAATAAATTTTTCCTTAACACAGTTCATCAATTGGCTTCTTGTGACAGAACTGCTGGATTTTGCCAAACAATCACCACTTGTACTTACCACTAAATTTATGCTCTACTTTTATATTAATCACACACCTAATTATAAACTAATACTTGTAATTACTATCTATTTTGATTAATTTAATTTTAGGACTCTTCCAATAATTAATAAATAAAACCAAGTAAGTTCATATTCCATTAAGTACTATTTTAATAAGTTAAACCCGATATAAACAACATTTTTCTTTGTTACACAGATGTTGTTACCATTATCTTTAAATTAAAAGTAAATGCCTACATTTGTCGATTGTTAAAATAAGTGGTGCAATTAAATGTCAATATCTGGGCAAAAAGTAATAATTATTTGCTATATCTTTGTTAATTAAATAGGTGAATGCTTTAAAATGATGTGCTGGTGCTAGATGTTAGGATACATTATTTATATGATGTCAAGATAGACAAAGTTATAATAATGTCAAACCTACCTAATCAAGACAAGTATAAAGTAACATTTAAAAAGAAATCTGTTTCTTTCTACTAGAATGCCACAACCACTTTAAATATTTAGGAAAAGTATTCAGGTGAAAACATAACAAGTTGAAAACCATGAATTTGGAAATTATATCTAAGTTTAAATGAATTAAGTTAGATACACCAAATAAAACTTATCACTAATTTAGTTTTATTTCAGATCACCTTTTTAGATGAGATGATGATCATAAGTAACAGAATGCAAATTATATTATGAACAATAAATGAAAAGTTAATAAGCATAGTATAACAAAATGTTGATAAGTATTAATCTAGAATAGAGCCAAACAAGGTGAATCAAGCACAAATAAAAATACAAAAGTGGACGTACTATAGTATAGCATACATAAATGTATAAAAATGGACAACTGATCCTATAGCATGTCCATTTTTGTACTTTTTGTGCTTCATTCACGCTGTTTTGCCTTATTCTATGTGGCATAAAATATATCCTATCCACTTTCAGATTAAATTTTCAAAATAAAAAGTGCAAAAATATGGTAAATGTTATTTTTCTTTTTGAATTTATGATCATTTTACAAATTATATTTCATTTAACCGATAAAAAATCGATAAAGATAACAGAGTACAACCAAATAATGACAAATGTTTATCAAAGTAAACAAATAAATAAATGTAAAAAATAGTAATATTGGTTCTTCAATATAATTTTTAGTCCTTTTCAGATTAAATGATCATATTTTCCAGTTTAGAAAATATTTTAATCAATAGGTTAAAAATAACAAGAGAATAAAACTGTAAAATAAAAATTCTAATATGATTTATTGAAGCTTAATGTAAAATTATTTATGATTACATTGGATTTTCAACATATTTTTAATAATAAATTAATAGAAATTAAAATGCAAAAATAAAATATTAGAGCACTCAAGGGCTGAATATAAGTTTCATGGGCCATAGGACAAAATTTACAGCAGGCCCTTTCCTCAAAACACAAAAAATTTCATTTTTATATTTGGAAATTTTGAAGAGCCTTTTTTAAAAATTGAAATTTTTAAAGTTTTATAAAGAAATTTTCTTCGATTTTATTCTAAAAAATGAATAAAAAATCACATTTTTATATTCAATTAACCAGGTTCTCAGCAGTTCCCGGCTTTGAGGACATTTTTCAGATAATATAAAAACATTTACCTTGAAAATCTCTGAACAAAAGATCTTCTTTACTTAAACTCAACATCACACATACAGTGGAAACATAAAGATCTTTAAATTCGTCTCTTCTTAATTTAAAATTAGGAATGTGTTTGGAGAGGAAATGAAGAAGGGTGAATCCTTTCTTTAGAAGAATGGTAATGAGACAATTTTCCTTCCGAACAGCGTAAAACTTTAACAATGTTGCAAGTACAGATGGAAATATCTGAATAAAAAAAAAAAAAATTCAAGCTATAGTAAGAAACATTTATAATTTCTTAAACAAAAGACAAAACTGATATACATTATCTTTTAATATTACTCATTAGATTCAATAAAACATTTGAAATGCCGGGCAATATAGTGATAAGCCAAAATTTTTCCAAAGGTGTCAATTTTAAATTAGATTAATCCTTAGTATTTCTTCTATTAAGGTACATTATAAATTACAGGAATTCTTTAATATGTAGAACCTTTTTATTGACTATATTAATATAGCTGTATTGTTTTTACAAATTACGCTTTCATATGTTTTTGATAATTATTTGAAAATGTGATGTAAAAAAGCTCCTTAATTTCAATATCTTAATTTATGTGTTTTTAACTACACTGGGGTTTACGTAAATGATAAATACACAAGACATGTGCCTTGGGCTGAAACCAACCAAATATTTTTAATGTTGATTAAAGTTGTTAAAAAGTATATTTTTCAAATTGAAATTTCATTATATAGATATGTTCAGTAAATATTAGACACAAAATGGAATTATGCTATTGGAAGTATTATGACCACTTTGAGCATCAGAGTTTATTTATTTGCTGACATTTTGCTTATTACACTTTTGTGGGAAGTGATACTTAGATAATCGTAAAACTATTAGTGCAACAACATTTATCGAGTGTTTCATTATAGACTGATAAGTTAAAAACTCAATTAAACCAAAACCATTGACTCAAATAATTCAGTTCCATTATAAATAAGAAAGCCACCCTTTCTAAGAAAAAACACAATCATTCAGAAATAATAAAAACTATAGGAATAAAAAAAATTAAGAAAACTAAGAAAAACAAATTTCTAAAATTAAGAAAACTAAGAAACAAAAAAAGGTCTTTCAAGGAAACAAATCTTGGTCTATTTCTTACTTTTTTTTATTATATATAATTAAGTTTTTTTCTACTAATTACACACTGCTTTTAAGACAAAAGGCTATGTTACGTTTTTGGTTACATTAAGTTTTGATGCCGTTTGTACCATAAAATACCCTTTTTTTCAGTTAATTAAACAGTTTCCAGTTGACAACAGCACATATATTCTGTGAAAAAGTAAATAAAAATTTCACAAAAATGTTAACTAAATCTCACAAATTTAAAAGTTAGAAAACATTGAGTGCCATAAATTGTTTTAAAGCTTGGACTGCCTATTTTTATAACATAAAGAGTTAAGTTTTAAAATGCAAATATTTTTTACAAAAAAACAAAAACTAATGGTGGTATAAACACCTATTAATTCTTTTATAAATTTTGTTAGATAATTTAAAATTAAATATAATAATAAAACATTTTTCAAAAGAAAAGAAAAAAACTGATACAACAAATTTTTTTTTTTTTGCATTTTGTTATAGACATTAATACAATAACTGAATTTTTTGTTTAGAAGTAGATTTATATTCAGTGGTTGAATTTCAGTTTGTTACCTAAAAATATTAACTTTTTGCATTCAGCATGAAGAATTTTATTGAATACATTTCCAAAATTTGCATTCTCAGTACTACTGAATTTAATTACTAAATTTAATTACTAAATAAATAGAACAGAAAATTTCTATCTACAATACAAAAAAGTATCAGTTTTAAGAATATAAACAAAAGCTGTTTGTATTTTGCAATTGCTTCTATGCCTCAAATATTTTCAGAGGCAATCAGAGAAAGAGGTCAAGGGGATAACAGCCCCAGGCATCCAACCAAATGTGAGATCACAAATTGATGACTAAGGACACTAAAACTTTAAATCCATAAGTTTTTTTTTTTTTTTTTAAATTGTGAAATTAAATTTCTTAACAAGTAAATATTTGGCTCAAGGAAAACTTTATAAGGAATAAAACATGACAATAAAACAAATTTAGTAGCCAAGTTTTATAAAGGACAAATGAAGAGAAATACTTCCACTACTCAAATTCCATTTGCTACAAGTTTATAAGTTGTTGTGAGGAATCCAGTGTAACTTTATTTAAACTTCATTTTAATTTTAGGACAATATTTAAATAAAATTTACTATTCCAAGGTTTGCAACCAGATTCAGATAAAATTTTAAATGTGTATATTGATAACCTTATTCAGACTATGCTGCAACATTGTGCAGATGTAAATGCTGAAAAAGGCATGGCTACGAAGCATTAACAGTATTATATAATTTTTCCGTTATTGTATTAATTTTTCAACTTATATCAATTAAAAATAAAATTATAATTTGGCCAGAGATTTTTGAATATGAAAATATTGCAGTTTATTTAATTTTTATGTTTTCAAATCTTTTTACAAATAGCAATGATAAATAAGTAATAATATGTAAATATTTGAATTTGGGTATAATAATAAATAAAAAAATTATTTGTTTATCATTTAAACAGCCAAAAGTTAGAAATAAAAAAATACTGGCCGAAGAATTTGGCACGATATTATACTAAATTTGCTTTCTGAATGTCTATCAATTACCCATGGAATTGACCTATTAATTATTGAATTTCATAACAGTACTTCATAGTCGACTCGCATTAATTTAACCATTTTTGCCATTTAAAACAAACAATTAAATAAAAATTTATAATAGAATATTATAAATAAATATAAAAGGTTTCAAAATCTTACCATCATAGAACATGCAGAACTTTCTAGCTTCATATCTGAGAAACTATGTACAGAAAATACAGAAGTTAAATAATCTTCAGCCTGAAAAAAATTTAATTTAGAATTATTATCTAATTAATATATAATGCTTATTATGCTTAGTTAATTACATTCATAAATTTATTAATTAAAAACATAATAGAGAAAATAATATCACTATTAATAACATTTGTGAACAATCAATTGTAATAGTGACAAATAAGTTTATCAATCTAATAAATGTTTAATATTTAATTATTCTTATAAGGGTGCACAACCTGCAATCCGGCAACTCTCGATGTGTGGCCCGCGGCAGCAATTTGAACAAAATGAAAAAAAATCCGCTCTGTTTTTGAAAAATAATAAAAGTTTTTCGCCGTGTTTTTGTGCTAAACGTCAATAGAACAGCACATATATTTAAACTATTGCAGTCTTAGGATAAATATTTAATCATGCATAATTCATAATATCAAAGCATAATTCTATAACAGCATAAATAGTGAACTTATAAATAGTAAATTTCATAACATTCACATTTTGACACTAAATGTACCTATAAAATGTAGCATAATTATCAACATTTTAGTTTCTTTTTTTTATGAATAAATAGTTTAATTTGATAAAGTAGGAATTTATTTTTTAAATTTGCATTTTTTATATCTCTGAAAGTTAGTAGCAGCTATTTCCAAACTTTCAGATGCAGGCTATACTGTGTCAAAAAACCATTTTTTTTTCATGTTCTTAAACAGGATAATAATGCATCGCAGCAAAATTTCGGTAAAATTTTATTCAAGGGCTGAACACTTAACGGGTTAACATAGCATATATATATATTTTTTTATAGTTTAAGCTCTCCTATCACCCCAGTTCAAATTTAAAAAAAGTCAAATGTACAAGTAAATAAAGATAATTTTTACCATTATCATTGAATCAACGCATTCCAAAGGAGTGTTAGATATTGTCCGATTTAATAAAGTGGCTACTGCACACAAATGGCAAGAGTCTGGAAGAAAGAAAAAACTTAATTATTCACACACATCCAGATGTAATTAATACTTTTTGATATAAGAATTATTAATCACTTTCATTAAAATTTATAAATCAATAATACTAATCTTTAATTATTTCACTACATTAATGATCACATTACTTTAAAACTTAATAAACAATGAAAGCAACCTTTAATAAATTTTCACAATTAGCTCCCTGTAAAAGTGAAAACTCATTGCAAAATTTAATTATGATTAAAATTCAATTCCACATTTAAAAACTAATTTAGACATTTTGAATAAATAAGTTGATAATTTTTTATTTATTATTTTTTTCCTTATGAATTATATTCTTTCTAAATAGAATAGGCGTCCCAAGCATGTGATTTTCCCACTCTCCACACTTTTCTCTTTTGTGCTACCATAGTTACAGTATATCCTGCTTTTTTCTCATGGCAGTATGTTTCAGTAAGAAATTCAAATGGAGAAAAAGTAAGATTTGCCGAAACACTGAAGGAAAAGTGTGGAGAGTGGGGAAATTGTGTATTATCCCCACTTCTAATCTGTAAACTTTAGACGAGATTTAATTTACAAAGAATATGGATAGGAATAGTTTAATGTAAAGAGGATATATCCTCTTGCAAAAAAAGCTTGCAATTTTGGGGGGGGGGGGAAAGNGGGGAAAGAAGCTAATTGCAAATTAATGTGTAGGAAAACAAAATACAAGCATTTAGCCAGAATATACATTGATAGGATTTTAATGCAATTAAAATCCTATTATAGTTTAGATGTTTTAAACTTCAATTGTAAACACTTAATATATTTACATTATAATTGTAAATGCATGTATTATTATAAAAAGCATTTCAATTGTTTGTTAAAAATAAGTTTACATTTTAGAACATAAATGAACATCAAACACTTATAAACATGCTTGAAAATATGAAAACTGTAAAAATACAAACCGGTGTTGTGGAGAGACGTATTTAAATATTCTTTCAGAGTGCAGATATTGATTAGCATTCTTAGAACAATATTTGTAGCAGCAATGTTGAAACAATTACTGATATGCCTGGTGATGACTGTATTGTCGAAAGAACATACAAGGCTGCATTGTGATAAATCATTAATTTATTAATTATATTCTACATTCATCAATTGCATCATTACATTCATTAATTATATTACTAAAAATTATAATAAAATGTTAGGGTTTTATTACAGCATTTGTTATAAACAAAATATTTAGTTTGTATTTTTTTCTTTAAGAAAATATACTATTTTTTAATACATTCTATTTGAGCTACTTATATTAAAATAATTCTTTTTTTTAAATAAATAAGCAAGCTTTGTTATTCACAAAAAATCTGAATTCAAATACTATAAAGTGACCCTTTAATAAAAACTTTATACAGTTTAAAGAAATTGTTATTTATTTATATAAATTTAAAAGTACTGGACAACATTAGTCATATTTTCAAACGCCAAAAGAAACTCAGCAGTAGAAATATTGTACATGGAATATGCCAAATAAATAAATATACATAGAACTGATAAAAAATAAATACAATAATAATTATGAAATGTAACGAAAGAGAATTAATAAATAATAATACTATATGAAATTATAAGATAGAACTGTTTTAATTTATGCTTAAAATTTATACTGATTTTCTTATAAAATCATGCAATAAAACTCAAAAATTATAAATATAATTACCTCAATCTTTTTTAAAAATGTGATAGTTCTTTGTAGACTTAAAAAAAAATAAAAATAATTTTTACATTTAGCAATATGTAATGGCAAACAATTTAACTTAAAATGATTCAAATTTTTAATGTAGCTTTTTCCTCATGAACAAAAAGAAAATTTTTTTCTTCTTCATTCCAAACCCGACAGTCAAACCCGTTTATTGAGGAAACTTTTATAAATGATTGACGTAAAGTTAATAACCATTACGAGTATAATTCATATTTGTTGATTTTTTTAAAAAATTATCTGGAAAATTATTTTATTAAAATTGCCCAGAAAAGTATTTATTAGTTTATGAAAATTTCCTTTTATTTAAAACCTTTCTTTTTCTAACTGTACGCAAAGTATACGTACGAAAGCAATGAAGAGTTACTATGTAATTCTTTCATTTGTTTTGTAAAATTCACAGGGTTATAGCTTGACAATCTATGATGTAACTTAGATTGTCAAGATAACTCTGATTAGTGACTAAAATGGTTTAAGAAAAGATTTAACCTCTTGTTCTGTAACCATTTTTGTGTCTGGTCATATTTTCCTATATAAATGCTTGTGAATTATATGTCTGATTTGCTCTCATTTTATCAACACACAACTTTGATAAAAGGAAAACATATAATGTTCATTCTGCTGAAAAAAGAAAACACTTTCTTTTTTGCAAGACCAGGACGATATTTTAATAAAATGATATTTTTGATCAATGAAGTGGTGCTTTAGCCATCAATGGGGATAATAAATATATTTAGTGCTGTGTGTGTTGCATATCTAATAATTTTTGAGCAACTGTGCAAAACACACACTTTCCCTTGCAGAGCTTTTATTTTTGATAATCTCTTCACATTCAAGCTTAAAAAATACTGATTTAATGAGCAAATTGTATTAGAATTCATGCAATGAAATTTACTCAGTGCATTATTTTAACACAATATTTAGTATACCATTTATAACACTAATTTGTATTTTAAAATTTAACCTGTCTTTCAGACCTTGATCAAACATTTACTTTTATATCAATAAAAATTTGAAACTAAATTCATGAAAATAATCTTCATGGCATAATTAGCCTAAATATTAAATTTAAAACCATTTTGCCTGATAGAGTTAAAGATAGCCGAGTAGTAGCACTTTAATACTAAATAATCACTATGTTTCGCAAATTTTCTGAACTGGATAGTTTATAGAAGCTTTGAAGAAGATTCAATTCTGGTTGTAGCGGCATAATTACTCTTCTCATAAAGTCGTAAAATATTTTGTCAAATAAATCTACAAAATGCTGTGTAATGCTAGTTTAATACAAATCATCACTTCTTTCCAATAAAGCTTCTGAAGTGTATAGTTTAGAGAAACTTTACTATATTTTTTTTATTATTGCAAGAAAATTTATAACCAGAAATTAATCAGGACCATGATTATTGAATGAACAAAAAGCTTTAGGCAAGCATACATACTAATGTTATTTTTAATGTCACCTTTTAGGATTAGTAGCTGACCAAGAAACCAAAGCTGACAAGGATAATTCAACTTCGTCCTTACACGCAAATCCATTCTAAAAGAATAATTAAAATTGTAACATGGATTTTACAAAAACAGCTTTATTAAAAAAAAAAAAAGAGTTTTGGAAAAATATAATGATAAATCACATTTTCAATTGTCCAGGAAAGCATTCTTTTGGGGAAAATTTTTTACATGCAATCACTAAGAAATTTATTCAGTAATCCAGTTGAAAAGTTCAGAAACCTAATTGAAAATAATACTATGAAATGGCTTGAAGTAAAAAAAAGAAGTCATATTGGGAAAAAGTTTGGTTTATCACTAGCTCCAAGTCCTTCAGTCATACATATTAGTTGCAAGATAAAAAGAATAAAAAAAAGTAGTAAAATAGGAGTAGTAAAAGCAGTAAGTAGTAGTAAAAGTAGTAGAAAATAAAAGTTTGAAAAAATAATTTTTTATTGTTTACATAGTTTGAAACATCATTTGCTAAAACATTATTAACGTATGACACTTTATCACAAAAACTAAAAACAGAATTATAGTAAAATTTGTATATACTATTTTTTAATTTCAAACAAAATAAACTGGCACAATGATTGTATATTGATTTTAATGGCTCAAGAGCCAAAATATATACCAAATCTAATTCTAACAGTTTCCTTATAAATAATTGCAGCAAAACTTGTTTGCTTTCTTTCAAATTCCAAAATATGTAAGGATTGGTTTGGATAAATGGTAGATATAACATTTATTAAAATTTAATAAACTTATATAGATATATTTGAGTTATTTCAGCTTATTTTACAACTATTTCAATTGCATTGTGTTAAAATACTTCATATTACTATAGTGTAAAAAATCAGATTAAATAAAAGTTTTGTTTGTGTTAACTAAAAACCTAATTAAAATTAAAAAACCCAACATAATTTTCACAACAGAAAAACTAGATCAACATTTGAAGCAAAAGAAACAGAAAAGTTGGCAGGCTTTTTCATGCAGTAATATAAAAAAATGTAAAAGAAAATGTGAACAAAACTGCTAATAGTTAGTAAAATGTATAATTTATATTAAAAAAATTTATGATGAGTGTCTATTTTAAACGCATTGAGGATTATCCTCAAATTTGCTTATCAGCGCTTTTTAGGTCACTCAATTCCGCAGGTAATCGAGAGTTTACTGTAAATATTTAAATTGCGAGAGTTATTGTGTAATTTTATACTAATAATGAAGGAAATTTTAAGGAGAAAAAAAAAATGAGTCTCATCGAATAATTATTATTTTTTAAATTCCTTATTTAGGAATGTGCAACACAAATAAGTAGAAGGTGAAAACTGTAAAAAATAGCTGACTTTGTCTTAAAACTAAAGTCAGAATAGACATATATGAATCAAAAAGAACATTAATATGTAATAACTAGAGCCCGGATTTTGATGACCTAAAAAATCTCAACTACTGCCCTTAAAAAGTGCAAAAAACGCCCTTAAAAAGGACCAAAAATGCCCTTAAAAATGCAAAAATTGCGCAAAAAATGCCTTAAATAAAGTAAAAATATTGAATTAAAAAATATTTCAGTCTTTAAAATTATTATGAGTCATTTAAAAAATATAAAGCAATGCAATACTTGTTCTACGTTCATTAAAGTTTAAAAAATATGTTTTATATCCTAAAATAAGAAAAAAAGGAAAATATATTGACAGCAAAATATTTTTATTTTGTATACAAACTTTAATGGATATAACAACTTCCATCTCATAATATTACTAAATATCAGAATTATATTGGATTATTAAATGTTTTTTGATAATTTGAAATGTAACCGAGCGTCTCTCATCTCAAAGTAAATTTTCATTCCTGCAGAAGCTTCTTTCAACGTCTACTGATGTTATAGGTGCATACTTGAAAAAGATGGTCTCACTTACTTCATCAATTTGAAAAAATTTTGCTTCACCTGTTAATATTCTATACATTTTCTTCATTGTTTGGAAGCCAGTGTAATAATGAAAATTGATAAAAAGTAGTAAAAATTGGAAAAAAGTAACAAAAAACTTTAAAAAATGCATCAAAATGCAAAATCCGCCCCAAAATTTAAAGAAAAATGCCCTATAAATCTAAAAAAATGCTCTAAAAGACAAAAAATGTCCAAAAATGCAAATGTCATCAAAATCCGGGCCTTAGTAATAACTATTTAATTAAAGTGAAGACTCAAATAATGAGTCTGATTCAAGAATTATTTGGAAAATAGCTTATTCAAGAAAAGAACATAACTATGATATAACAATGTAGAGTGTAAAAAAGGTTTAAAAACAGTAAAATATCTCAAATATACGAAAAATGAAACAAATACAGTCAATATTTTTTAAAAGCTATCGAATAATATGAAACTCGATCTTTCATCCACATCCGTTTTGAGAGTGTGGGTGTTTTAATTTTTTTTTTTTTTGGAAAAAAATTAAGATTTTTTTTTTAAATAATTGAATTTAACATATTAAAATTAGTTTTCAAAATTATATAAGATATTTCATATAAGTTTCATTGTTGATATTTCACAACCAATGATTATCCTATTTTATTACAGGTATATAAGTCGATTCCTTGATTTTCGTAAAATTTTGGGAATTTGAAAAGTCGACTTATACACTAGGATATATAGTAGTTATAGTGAAATAAAACTTAAAGAATGAGTCTTATTCAATAGAAATTTGAAAAATCGCTTGTTCAAGAATATAATTCAGCACGTACAAGTGAAAACTAGCAACTTAAAGTTGAGGTGAAAACAGCAAAAATAACTGATTTGATTGGCAAAATGATTGACATTGTCACAAAATTAAAGTCAAATGGAAAATATGAGACAATAGCAACATAGCAATACATTAATTTTATAATTACAGCAAAACTAGTAAAATTTCTCTAATAAGCAGTACATATAAGATACTAAATTTATTTGTAACATTATTAAGTTCTTTTGTTAGAGCAGCAAATTTCAGTTATCTTAATTTTTTTTCAAACTGATAGTTAAAACACAAAATGATATTATTGCCTCTGATTATTGCAGTAAAAAAAAGTATCAAAAAAAAAATAAAGAAACTAATAAAAATAAATAAAGAAGAAATTTAGAAAGGGAAGAAAAGTAAAGAATCTGTTTTAGTCAAGAATTGTTTGGAAAATGTATCATTCAAAATTCATCTAAGAATATAAGCTAGCTTGTTTATTCTACACAAATACCATTTAAAAAAAAATAGAGAAATTTTTTTTAAAATATCTGTTTGGAATTTCATTATATTTTACTGAATCCAAAGGAATAATAACGTTAAAAAATAAAACCTGCAATGACAAAAAACCACCATATACATGTATGAAAAATTGTGCTCTACAATATCACAGTGAGGCCTGATAATATATCTCACATTTAACTCACAGGATAAGTATCTGGCTTTGATAATATAAACAGCAATGTCAGTAGTGAGTGAGTCCTTTTTTCATGTCTTTCATTTCTTTTATCACAGTTAGAAGACAAAGATGCTGAAGAGCTGTCATTACTATCTTTTTTCTGAGATGCCTAAAGTTAAAAAAAGATTTACTGAAATATTAAAACATTTTCTATTTTTATTTCGTAATAAATAATATCAATAGTCTGTTAGCATTAAATATTAAAATAATTACTGAATGTAATAATTTTTTTTTTGTTAAACATATTTCAATTCCTAAAAACAACTGTTTCTAAGAAAAAATAACTAAAATAAATCCTTAAGTGACTTTTTCTAAAATAGAAAGTGGGCATGTTTGCATGTCCTGGTAATAACAACAAGCAATTTGGACCAGATGTCTTCGGATAAAGCTGTGCTATTAATTTAAAAATGTTAAAAACCTGCACACAATATGAAGACATCAATTTTCCACAAGTTACAAAATATTGTTGTAAAATAATACATCAAGAATATCAAGTTATCTAATATTTGATAAATCGTTCTCCAATATTTAATTTCAATTTTTTTTTAATAGCAGAGACATTCTGAGTTACTAATTGTTTGAAGCAACAAAAGTTAAATAGAATAAAATTTGAGAGTTATGGAACATAATCTTTGTCTACACTTTAATAACTAATGAACACCCTTTAAAACAAAAACAATAGCAATAAATAAATATTATGAACTGAAGAGCAACAAAACTAATGATTATTAAATACAAAAAAATTCCTTTTAAAATTTATACTTGTTCAAAATACTTAAAAAGAAAGAGAGCATGATTATGTAAACCAGGACATTACACTTGATGACTGATGAAAGAATTAAAAATCTTATGAAAAAAAAATATGAATGTGAATTTTATTATTTACACTTTAAAAAAATATAGAAGTTACAGTGAAATGATATTTACTAGACTTAACTTTTCAAACAAAAAATTAAATACAATTAGACACTATTGCTTGCTATAATCAATTTGTATTCTTTAGGTTATCCACATTCTCTTGCTTATTCAATAATCATGAAGTTTAATGATGTTTTGAACATGTAGTTTAATGATACATACACTCTAAGAACTAAAATAATATTACCTTTTTTGCTTCCTGAACTAATGATTCTATATGTAAGGAATTAATAGAATCAGAAAATTGATAACAGGAAATAATGTAACTTAAATCTTTCAGGCAAGATATGGCTACAGTTCTATCATAAACAAAACCTTTCTTTATAACAGAAAAAGAGGAATCTGAACTTGATTGATCAGGGAAGTTCTGAAGGTAAGACACATAATTTTCCAAAACAGAAAAATAATAATATAATATTTCATCAGATTTTTGTTCTAAGGTAAGTTTTGTAACTGATACAGGAGAAAGAAGAACATTGTCAGTAAGATGCTCTCTATCTAAATGATTCCGAAGAGTTGCACAAATAGGAATTTGTAAAGGAAACTGTCTGTTGCATAAGATTGAGGAAACTATATCACAGCCTTGAGTTTGACCTTAAAGAAAAATTAAATAAATAAATACATTTAACTAAAAATATTTAAATTAATACAGAGAAAAAGATATAAAAAGACAAATATCTTGAAAAATCTGATTCCATAAGAATACACATTTAATCAAAAATCTGAAAATGTGCAGGTGAAATGTCTTTAAAAGATACCAAACTTCCTCCAAGAAAGATTCACCTCATGGGGTATGAAAGTGGTGTCATTAGGTAAGTTTCCTAAAATATCATTCAACCAAATATCAAATAGGTTTTCCATCATATCAAAATATGTTTTCCAAATTTTTATTAATTTGACATGTATTTCTCTAGCCATCTCCATTTTAAAAATTTAAATCCAACCTTTTCAGCACCAACAAGTGAATTAAAATGCAAACATCTGTATGCCAAATCGGGATACTTTTCCCTTGAAAATTCGAATCTGCAATAAAAAGTAGGGTTTTCAATTTAAAATTTTAAAGTTGTCATGTCTAGGAGAAAAGGTTGGAGGTTGAGTTTCAGATCATTAAAATGATCATTTAGTCATTATCAAGTGCATTTTTAAATTTTTGATCGCATGTCTATATTAATTTAATACACATATTGAATATCTAAATACTTTTTTATCATTTTTTTTTAATTAAAAAAGCAGTTTTTAAAAATTCAGAACTTCAATTATTCAGAAAATTTTCTTTTCATCACTATGGTATCACTTCCTCCAAGTTTTTTTTTGCAGTATCCTGCATAATAATAAACAAATACATTTTGATTAATCTTTTTAAATATAGTTAGCTCTCCTCCCCACTACAAGAAGCTTGTAAATGATCTTATTTTGTTACAATGATAAATATAATAGTGTAGAAAGTAAATCTACATAATAATGCAAGTTAACAAAAAATTATTAGAAACAGAAGAATAGCTTTTAAATATTTTGAGATATTTCTAACCAAAAAAAGTGAGAATTATTTTGGTTCCTTACAGTTTTCTAATGCAAAAAGATTTTGCCCTGGTTCAGACTGAAACAGATTAGTGAAATATATTAAAAAACATAATAGGACTATTAATATGTTTTGAAAAAAAAATACTTTTACCACACAAATTAATAATTTAAAAACCAAAAACTGAGAGCCAATATTTCTCAAATTTAAATGATTTTACAGAAAAATACATTTATGCATATAATAAAAATTTTAAAGAAAGGAGATAACTATTCCCTTATAGATACTTCATATTACAAAAACTTATAAATAAATCAATTAAACAAAAGTGCTTACCTTTCGGCATATCAACAGACACTGCAAACTTACGATGAAGCCCTTTTTGATGATTACGTGTTTTTTCTGAAGGTCGGACAGGTATATCAGATTTGAAATCAAATCTAGAATTTAAAAAAAAAAACATAAAAATTTAAATCTCAGCACATTTTTAAACATAACATTATGACATCAATATATTTCAATTTATAACAATATATTTAATAATCAATCATGAAATCAGTTTTATTTAGAAATGTGTTTTCTCTTGAACAGAAATCAGGTTCTCCTCTGTAGAGGAATGAAAACTGCTCCATAATTCAATGCTTTATTTAATGGAGGAAAGAAAAACGCTCAATAAGAAAATTTTTGTATTAATATGCATATGAAGATCAATATTTAGAGGATTAAGAAAACAATAGAATGTTTGTTACATACAAGTAAATAATTTAATTCAGTAAAAGTTTTCTTATAAAGTCCAACAATTAAAGAGGCTATGAAAAAATTTAATTTTGGCTACATACAATAAGTTTTGTACAAATTTTCCACATATAATGGCTGCCCGAATGAAAAGTGGACAAGTTGAACAAAAAGAATATCTTCTGTGGAAAACGAAAGAAATCACCCAGAGACTTGTGACACGGGTCCCATCTAAACGATGGGACCCGTGTCACAAATCTGCTGTGGTAGCAGGTCTATGCATTTTCTATAGAAAGATTGTGGTTGATTCTGGAGCAAGTTCTGCACAGCTTTCTTCATTCCATTGTCCAAATGGAAACATATTCCTGTAATGCCCTCTTAAGTCTTCCAAAGATGTAGAAGTCACAAGGTGACAAATCTGGATTGTCCCAACATTACCCAACAGAAATTTTGTAAGGTCATCTGGACGTCACGGGTCACATGAGAGAAAGATAATTTGAGTGAGAAGGCCTGGTCATTTGCTTTAAATTGCTTTCTGTAGTTTCATTAGAGTAATGCAGTAATAAATTGATAGCACTCTCTTCAGGCAGGAAATCAATCTTTATTCCAATGTAGGTGCATCCATGTTTAGCAAAACTTTATTTTTAATTAATTTCCTCTACCACAAACAATTTTCACTGCTAAACATAAAAGCATACCTCTTACCGCCCATTTACATCCTTGTTCGGTTGGCACTGCTGTAGCCGCAGTCATTCTGTGAGAATTGCAGGTGCCACTTTTCATTTGGGAAACCATTATAACTTATCAGTTAAAGAGTGACCAAAAAAAAGAAGAAAAAAAAAGAAAAAAGGAATGTTTATTACAAATAATAAATTTTTACGTAACAAAAAAGTGTGTACAAGTTAACACTGGTAACTCCAAAGTTAAAGGATTAAGAAAAAATATATGTATTTCTTACATACAATATATTTTGTATGTACCAAAAAATTATGTCAAAGTGTACCTATGTAGCTCAATAGTAAAAAGAAAGCAAGAATAAAGTGTTTGTTACATATAATACATACTTTTGCAAATATTTATTTGGACTTTTGCTTGTAGATGCTGTTGAGTTAACTTTATTTTCTTTCAGCTGAATTTCAAGAGTTTTTACTTTATCATGAATTGCTTTCATTTCTTGATCCTAAAATATATGTATTAGGACATATAGTTTGTGAAAATTTTTAAAGTTAGAAATAATTTATTAAATAAATTATAATTGATTAAATAAATTATATAAATAAATTTGAGTTAAATAATAACACAGTGAAACCTCTCGGGAATGACCACTCTTTGTTCCACAGTAAAATGGGAGTAAATTTTTTGTAAACAAATTTAATTTTGCACAGCGTCTTTTTAGGGGTTCGGAAATGCCACTTGTGTTTGTGTCATGAAAACTGGATTGATAAATAAAATTTAGCATCAATAAAAATGACCCCCACAGATATAATTATGCGTGAAAACAAATTTACCAATTATGAGTTATAGAACTATTGTAAATAAATAATTATATTTTTTGTTTAACTTTGCATTTAATTTTATATCATAAAAAATAGTTAGATTTAAAAATGAAAGGGGGTTTGTTTAAGTTGCTTAGCTTTTTCTAAAGTAACTTTTTTTTAACTTTCACCTCTAAAAATAAATCATTGATGGCACAGTCTTTAGTGCACTCTGACTACATCACATGGTTGTAAATTTCATTCAGAGATCCTCAAAAAAAGAAGAAGAAAACTATCTAAATAAGAGCCACTGACAAATATTTTGAATACATTTGAATCTACTTATTTGTTTTGTCAATATTTTTTGTTTTGATATTTTGTTGTGGTTCCCTATTAGATCTTTACAGCATTTGGTACAAAGGTTTGCCTGGTTGCTGGGGAAGGTTCTGATTGTCTCTCCTAAAGGTGTTCTTCAACACTAAGTTTATGGAAAGAAAATCGCATGCCTCCTGAAAGTGGTCGCAAATAAAGGAGGTTGCTACACAGAGGTGGTCCTTTCTGGAGGTTTAACTGTATTAACAATATTAATGTGCTTCTTCTAAAATAATAAATGTACTAAAATGTATACAAGCAAGAAACAATCAATCATTCACAAAAAAATGTTTCTTATTGAGTATCAGATACACTCAAATTCAATCCTGAAATAAAACTAATTTTAATGTGACTGTTTCAAAAGATAATAAAATTACATTTAAGTCAAATTAATATAATTAAGATTAATTCACTCTTAAATTAGAAGCTTATTAATATTAACAAATGCATTACAGAAACATTTAAAAGATTTTCAAGTACTTGGTCAGAAAATTTTTTAAATAAGTGCTTGTAACGGAATCTTTTATAATAATTATTGTTTTTGATTAAATTATAAAATTAAAAGTAAAGAATAATTCATCATAAATTTTTAAATAAGTACATGCATTAAAAAATATATTTTGATCATTATTTTTTTCTGCAATAACAAATCTTTTGAACCTTAATGAACTTATAACAAACATTAATTAAATTGACTGCCATTTTACCATAAATAATAGAAAAACATTACAAAACTACATTAAGAACAGACATTATGAAAACTACATTATGAATGGCTTTTGAGCAATATAGCAATCAGTCATATTTTTACCAAAAACATTTTTACATCAAACTGTTCATTAGTATTGTTTCCAAATATATGCCTTATATGTTTCTAGAATTTTCACTTAAAAACAATGCAAACAAAACCATCACGGAAAAATTTTGATGTTTTCCACTAAAAATACTTTTTAGAAATTTTTGAACATGTAACTTATGTGATTATCAATATTACCTTACGCCATTCCTAACTTCAGAGAACAGTTAAAAAATGTAGTTCAACAGGAGTAACAAGACAAAGTTTACCTTAAACTGTAAGGAGCTGTGTAATTTTTCGATTTCTTTTTGCAACACTTTCTCCTTTTCCTTAAATTCATGACTTTTCTCGGTAATTATCTTATCTCTTTTGAGTTTTTCTTCAGTCAATTCTTTTTTTGTTGTTTCTATAGTATCACTTAAAATTTTAATTTTACCTTCTAATTCATACTGTTTTTGTTTTGAGGAATCCACCTAGAATTATATACAACAACACAATTATGATGCCAAAAATAATTAAAATTTCAATAAAAAGGAAAGGAGTTTAGTGGAAAAACACGTTGAATAGAAAATTTTGCCATTAAAAATCAATTTATGTTAAAGACTGACAAAATAAATTAAGATTAAATTATCACAATTCTTGTTAATCTGGAAAATTTTACGGCTTACAAATGCCTTTGATCATGTCCTTACATAAAATTCCTTAAAAATATTTTATTGCATGTGTAATTGCAATTTGGGGGATTTAAAAAGCATTACAAACTTTAAATAAGTAAGCTTATCATTATATTCAAACAAACAAATGAAGAAATTTTTCTTATTTATCTACAACAAGAAAAAATATATTTCAAATTTAAAACATACATTTTTACATGTATATTAAAATATTTCAATAAAACAAAAAGATAGCTTTATATTACATTTTAAGTTCATTAAATTGAGTTTAATTTATATCATACTTTAAATTCTAAATAATTAAAAATAAAATTTACTTCACGTTAAAATTTAGCCATACTTTCATCCGTCTTTTCATTAAAGTTGATATTTTGTGTTTATACTGAATCGAATTGTTTAAAAAAATATTACAAAATTCAGCACAAAATTATTCAGTTCTCACCTCCAACGGTACATTATTATTCACAGATGTAGTCGGCACTGATTGTGTGGCTTGAAATTCAAGCATATCAAATTCATCAGCTGTAATATCTTCTTGACCCCATAGGTCATCGTTGACAATATTACCTTCAATGTTATTTTCATAATCTAGTCGCATTCTCTTGTTTTGATTTCTAATAAAATTCATTTTTCCCATTGGTCAAAATTCATTTAAATAACATACAGACAAATTAATTGTCTTTATACAAATCTAAAAAAGAATAATAATAATTAGAACTAATAAATAGTCCAAAATCAAAGTAAAGATTTAGGAAGAAAGATGTTTTCAACATACATATCAGGAGACATAAGAATTTATGTAACAAAACTCCTTCATCAGCAAATGTAAACCTTATAGATACTCATGTAATATTTTTACAGACATATACATTTAAAGAAACATTTTTTAAAGAAAACATATGTAAAAACTGAATTGGGTGACACTTATTCTATAATATTGCTTCTGAGCAGACCCCTTGAGCTTTGGAGTATAATGGCCTAAGTAAGGATTTTGAACAAAATTAATCTTACGATAAATCTTTAAAAAATCTTAAAATAATCTTACGATAATCTTACGATAGTAAACTTACGATATAAAAAAATCTTACGATAGTAAACTTTCTAAAAAAACCTGAAAAGTGAGAATTGTGCAATCCTTCTTTAAGAGGAAAAAAAAAAAAAAAAAACTGGAAAGTGAACTTCCCAATCCTCTATATTACTGATGTGGCGTAACTACCACCATAAATATTAAATATCAATTCACTAGTATATAAGACATGTTAACTTTATTCTATCTAGAGGTACCTTTTAGTAGAAGAAGGTTGGCATCTTCGATAATTAAATTCCCACAATGGTCTATCTTGAGATACCTTTTGATAGATGAAGGTTGACATAGTCTATAATTAAATCCCCACATTAATGACCTGCGGACGTGATATGAACTAGCCAAAATGGTGGATGGTCCACATTCAACAGTTGATTTGCTTAAAAATATACTGCTCATAGAAAAAGAAAATCCGGTGAAGTAAATAAAGTCTCCCAATCAATAAACAATAATGAAAAAATAATGAGTGAAATGCTATAAACAAAAAATTGAAGAGAAATATACAACAAACAAAATTGATGCATGATTAAACTAGTGGTATCCGTTCATCGAATTCTATCCCAGATAAAATTCTGGAAGGGGAGTAATGTGGCGTAACTACCACTATAAATATTAAATACCAATTCACTAGTATATAAGACACGTTAACTTGATTCTATCTAGAGGTACCTTTTGTTAGATGAAGCTTGTCATCGTCGATAATTAAATTCCCACACTTATGCTTAAAACAACTACAAATAATGCAGTAAATTTAAAAAAATAAATTTTTTTTGACCCTATAACAAAAAAACGTTTACTCTGAAACTGCATTATAGTATTTGCTGCACTGATTATTAAACTGAAACTTTTAAATGAAACTAAAAAAGTCAGTATTGTTATTTCAACATTATATTCTCAAATAAATAATATCAATATTAGAAAAAATTGATAACGATACGGAAATATACCCAAGTTTGATGCTAAACCTCTACTGTAGCACATCAAAGTCAACCAGATCAATGTTTGTCACTTAAGTTACAAACTTATTTGTCAAACTAAAGCTAACTTATTAATTCTTCTCAAAAAATTACTACACTTACAAAAACTTTGTAAAATTCGTCTTTGTGTAGTGCCCAAATAAAAAACTGATCATATTTTAACAAAGTGTTAAAATTACATGCAACAAATAGTAGAATGTAATACTTACTAGGAAAAAGTTATCTAAATAATATGCAAAATTGTTTGTTATAAAAGTTTGTTTTGTTGCTGCAGAAAGGCTAGAAATTATTTCGAATACTTAATTAAAACAAATTTGTTTAAATATTAAAAAGACTAATTACTTCCTATGATTAATTAACATTAAAAAAAATTCGAATTTGTATGAAAAGTTTACAAACCCGCTAGTTTTAATTTGTTTTGTTTTTATAAGTTTGAAGTTAAAGTTTGTAATCGAACTGTCACTTTATCAAATAAGTCACAATAGAGACAACTTCAACTTACATTTAAATCTCTACTCGGAATCGGCAATTGGCGATCAAAATGGACTGCAGGTGGCGTAGAGTAGAACTCTTTACCTATGGCAACACATTACATGCTTTCCCCATTAGCGTGTAGAGAGTCGTAGAGGAAGGAAGTACGTTTTTTTTTTCTTATGATTTTCATACAGATTAAAGTTGGAAAACTATACAGAACTGAAAACTACATTAAATATAGTTCTAAAGAGAAGCATCAAGGAAATTTTAAAAAATATTTTTATTAAATAAAAAGGAAAATATTTGGAAATGGGAAAATATCGCGGTACATTTCTATACGACTGAAGAGAGGAGGAGAGGAAAGGCAGGGGGGCCAAAGACATGAAATCTGCCTCTCCCTAGATGGTGTATTCGAGCACTGCGATCACCAATAGATATGGTCTTCGTAGATGACGCATAAACAAAATTCTTTTTCAATACTCAGCATCTGTGTGTTTTAAAAGTAAGTAAGCTACATTATATAGCCTTAATTTTAATTACGAAATTAGAATCTATATAAATTTGAAACTACTTTAATCGTAGTAGTGATCATCATGCGCACCACGTTCCTTTACACTTTATATCACCTTCCATTAGAACACCGAAGTCACTGGCTGATGCGGTCAGCAAGCGGGTGGGTGACCACTTTGATCAGCCTGCGAAGGGACCAAAAGTTCTCAGTATCGACCCTCGTTAAACTGTTCTATTGTAAAGAACTCAACTTCGAGCGCAAGTCTTCCTGCTACTAAAGCCGAGGAGCCCTCCCCTCTTCAGGTGACCAAAATTGCGATGGCATGTCTTCAGATCATCCTCAGCGATGTTTTCCAGACTGTCACCGATATCCAATTGTGTAGCTCTAGAGCGACGTAAATAAAGTACCTACCTACCATAATATAAGGAGAAATATTTTTGGTATGGTTTGTAGTTTCAGTACAATTCTTCTGCCCGCGATAATACAATCCCTCTTCATCAACAGCAATTTAGATACCGACATCAGTATGCCTATTTACGTTGTTGTAGTTCATTTATGTCGCACTGGGGCAGCACAATGGGCTATTGGTGACAGTCTGGAAAACAACCCTGACGATGATCCGAAGACATGGCATTACAATTTTGATCCTATGCAGAGGGGATGGCACCGTCATTTCGGTAGCCTGATAACCTGCACGCGAAGTCGAGCATTTTACGGTAGAACAATTTAACGAGGAAAAATGCAGCACTCCCTCAGTCCCTACGCAGACTGATTCAAGTGGTTACCCACCCACACGCTGACCGCAGCCTGTGAGGCTTGACTTCGGTGATCTGCTGGGAACAGTATCTTAACGATCAGTCCACTGTAGAACGAGTCGAAAATTCGCGTAGACAAACGGCATTTAAGATACCATTTACACTGCCTGCAAAAATTTCAAGTGTGTGAATTCGTGCTAATCAGATCTTATTCTTATACGTTTTTTTCCCGCCTGCTGTGAGAATCGTTAACTCTAGCAAGATTTTTGAATATATGCATTACCATTCTAACTGGATCAACCACCTCCGATCGCCATTGAGACGAGGAAAACTAAGAACCTGTTAAGTAAAATATGGATGGTGTTTTCTATACTAAGATGTGCTGCAAGCTCTTTACTGTCTATATTTCCAGGGTATTGTTTCCGGTGTATTTTGAAGCCATTTGGCTCACAACGTGATCATTGCGGTTTGAGACTCTCTAGAGTAATATTACTTGTATTTATTAACTGATTTATCATTTGTGCTTCTAAAAAAATATTTGTCATTTGAAGACCTATCATTGCAATATACCAACTTCGAAATTTAAACCAAAATGATAAATCGCAAAATGAACTTAATCTTGCTGCTGGAACAATATGCTAACACTAACGCCTGATGGTGTACGGCTTGTCAAAGAACAAACAATAATAAACAAGTAAAAAGAGTCAAAATCGGAACGCCAAGCATGTAAGTTTCTTCGAAATCTAGCAACCATGTCACCTTTTTTAACAATACACCTGCAGCGGCTGCTGTTTTTAAGCCAATTTCAAGCTAAACGCCGAAATGTGGCAAACTTACGTCGCCAGTTGGCGATAAGGACAATCACGATTGCAGACCTAACTGCACCTGTTTTTCTCCTCAGTTCGGTCTGTGACGACGCCTGTGTATGTTGCTGGGACAACCTGTCCGCCACGATGTTTAATCTAGAANTGAGTTAGTGCTTTGGTTACGAGCGCTGTGTGAGGTCGAGCGTTGTCATGAAGTAAGCGGACTCCATTTGTCTATTCATAACGTTCCCATAAACAGAAACAATTTCTTTGTGAATATTCGCTGGTCTCTGACCTTTTGCATGAAGAAAACGTATGACGGAGCGCACTTCGCATTTGGTGGGATTCTGAATCGCCGCAACCATTTTAAACACGACCTACTCCAATCAGAATCAACATTGAAATGCCGAACGACCGCGAGGAGAAAGCTAACGGTTCAAGGTTAATACCTGTGTTGCCAACTTGCTCGCCAAAACTTTTCTTTTCCTCTGGATTACGGTGTATCTTTACTTTTCGAAACACCCTCGTAAATCGCAAAATGAACTTAATCTTGTTGCTGGAACAATATGCTAGCACTAACGCCTGATGGTGTACGGCTTGTCAAGGAACAAACAATAATAAACAAGTAAAAAGAGTCAAAATCGGAACTGCCAAGCATGTAAGTTTCTTCGAAATCTAGCAACCATGTCACCTTTTTTAACAATACACCTATAAATTTTAAAAATACACCTATATCATTTCAAACTCACCAGAATTACTTAATATTGTTAATATTTTATGAAATACTGCAGATTTGAACTCAGAAATCAAGTAATTTATTTCTTTTATTAAAAACAAAATTACCTGCTTGAAAATATCGCCCTACAGAATAAGTTGTAGTAAGCAGCTGTATACTTTCTAATCTGAAGTAGAGTAGATCAAGAGGATATGTTGTTAACATTTATATTAAAAAAAAAAACATCCATATTTTCCTGTGAAAAGCTTTATTAACCAGCAAGTTCTTTTTCTCCCTGTCAATGGCGATTTAATGTATAGCACCAGCCTGAAGTGAAAATGCTCCTGCCCATTTCCAGGGAATGCGATTTTTTTCAGTGCGAAAAATTACAAGCATACGAGAACGTGTTTTGAAAGATTTTCACGAGTAAATATTTTCCACTAATCCGGTTCTCACACGCATGTAGTTTTCTTTCGCATTCGAAAAAAATCGCATCACCTGTGGACATTTTTTTGCATGTAATGCCTGCAAAAAATTTGCAAGCAGTCATTCCTTATGTCTTTCGTCACAATACTTACATCTTGCAGTGACGTCAGAGTTCACTGTGAACTCATCACCGTAAATCTCAATAGAATGTAAGTTTAATCCTTTTTTTTAAATCAATCATGAAAACAATATCAAATGCCAATCTTATATTTTGTTTCAAACTAAAAAATTGAAAATAGTGTTGTAGTACGCCCTCTTTTAAACACGTAACAAACACTGTATTTTTTTAAAAAGTTAATAGCTGTCGGGTAAAAATTTCAGAAATTGACAGTGCTGCTGTTTGGTGAGGAGTTAAAGAGTTGAGAAATTTCATATTGTTGTCTATATTGTCTAATCATCGTGAATAAAGATATGGCCTCGAACCTCTGGACCTGTAGTCAGATATTTTATTAGAAAGAAACGTATATTCCGAATCCGGTATGAAGTGGTAAGCTTTATTGTAGTACCCACGAAGACTTTCATCGTATGAAAGATATATTATTGTCAAAGAGTTTACATATTAAAAAAACCTCTTCATAAGATAACATTTTCTTTACAACATTATGTGGTTATCTGATGTAAACGGCCGACAACTTAACCACAGTAATATTTCTCAACTCTGACAATCAGCTGAGATAAGATGGTTAGGACCACATACTGACCATACGCAGGCTTTGTCTTTATATGGTTTGAATACACGTCACTGCTACTCGGACCGAATGGGATCAGTGAATGTTGCCAGCTTTTAGAACACTCACTTCATGCACTTCAGATCGCCGTTTAGGGCGAGTAAGAATCTGATTGGTGAAAAATATTTTCTCCTAAAAAACTCCCCAATGAGATTCACCATTTTTCTCTGCGGTAATCCTAAGTGCGTGGACCATACTCTGTTAGAATGATCCTTTACGTTAATAATATACATGCGCTACGTATAATATGCGTCTTCGAGTATCAGGAGAGTGGAAAAGTCATTTTTGTAACAATATTTTTTTTATTATATGCAGCACTTGATGAAGCAAAATTATTGATCCTTTGTAGAGGGGATGGTATTCCGCTTCGGTAGCCTGACGACCTGTACGCGAAGTCGAGCACTTTACGGTAGAACAATTTATACCGCAAGCCAATACCGCAAGCCTCGGTCCCTACGCAGACTGATCCAAGTGGTCACCCACCCGCTCACTGACAGCAACCAGTGATGCTTGACTTCGGTGATCTGCTGGGAGCCGTGTCTTAACGATCAGTCCACTGCGGGACTTAGTGTGTGGCGAAGGATGAACGTTAGTTTCTGTCTTGATTTTCAAATAGATTAAAAACTTTAGAGTTGTGAAACTATATGGTACTGAATACTACATTGAACTTAGTTCCAAACAAAGTGTCGTAGAAATTTTAAAAAATATTTGTGACGATTAAATACAAAAAAATATTAAGAAGGAAAAAAATACCGTAATACATTCCTATACAACTAAAAAGAGAAAAGAGGGAAGGATCAAGTCATGGACTGGTATTCTCCCAAGATGGCGTATTCGAGTGCAGCAATCGTTAATAGTTGATAATGTGGACGAGACTTGAGCCAATGTTGAAATGGACGTTCCGGAAAAAGTCTACCGTGACCCATGGCGCTTTCAATGCCCAGAAAACCCGCTAGAAGTAAAAATCGAC